AGGAAGAGGTGCAAGCAGAAAACAAAAGGAAAAGGCTGACACGGTACGCCGACGGCCAGATACGAGGATTGAGCTCGATTCAGAGGGAGCACGAGCGTGGAACGGTAAGAGAGCGCCGCGGGAGGGATACCAAAGGTGATGGGAGGCGCAGAGGGAGAGGGAGGTCCGACGAGGGAGGAGGCGACGAGTGGAGAGGAGAGGCCGAGAGGGATGAGCGGAGCAGGACGGGAGCATGAGACGACGTAGAGAGGTGACAGAGGGGACGGGGATAGAGGGAGAGAAGAGAGAGAGAGAGATGAGAGCGAAGAGAGGAGAAGAGGGAGAGAGGCGGGAGGAGGAGAGAGAAGAGAGGAGAAGGGAGAGCGAGGACCGAAGAGAGAGAGGAGAGTGGAGAGGGAGAGGGAGAGCGAGAGAGAGGAGAGAGGAGAGAAGAGAGAGAGAGAGAAGTAGAGAGAAGAGAGAGAGAGAGAGAGAGAGAGAGAGAGAGAGAGAGAGAGAGAGAGAGAAAAAGAAAAAGAGAGAGAAAGAGAAGAAGAGAGAAGAAGAGAAAGAAAGAAAAGAAAAGAAGAAAGAAGAAAGAAGAAGAAAGAAAAAAAAGAAGAGAGAGAAGAAAAAGAAAGAAAAGAAAGAAAGAAAGAAAGAGAGAGAGAGAGAGAGGTGAAGTCCAAGGTTCTTCAGTCAAGGTCGAGGTAACAATGGCTTACCGCGCCTTGGCAGTAATGGCCGTGACTTTGGCAAAGAGCTTGTTATGGGGTCCTTCTTCCCCTCTTCGTTTCGGTTTCCTTCGAGTATTTTCTCTCTTCTTTCTTCTTCTTTAGGACTTTATCTTTTCTTCTTGCTTGTTTCTCCCATTCAAACTATCCTTTTGTTTTTTATTTTTATTTATTTTTTATTTATCTTTTTTGTCGTCTACCATCACAATCTCTTCTCTCATTTACTCTCTTGTGATTTTCTGTGGTCTTCATGCTCTTTCTCTCATTCTCTCTTCTCTCCTCTATTTTTCTTGTATCTTCTTTCATATTTTTCCTATTTTTTCAGTCCTTACCTCCTCTTCTTGCTATGTCTCATTTAATCTTTTCTCTTCTGGTTTCTTTTGTATTTTTTTCTATTCTTCTGCAGTTTTTTTTCTATCACTTTTTCTTTTCCTACTTTTCTTTCATTCGGTCTCCTACATTCTAGGTATTTTTCTTCCTCTTCCCCTTTCCCTTCCCTTTCTCAGCTTCTCTCATTAAATTTCTCACTTCTCCTTTTATGACCCTGTTTCTCTCTCACTCCCGTTTATCTAATTCGTCTCTGTCGTTTTGTTCCTCTTCCACCTTCTTATTATTATTATCCTCCTCCTCCTCTTCCTTCTCTTCCTCTTCCTCTACCTTCTCTCCTCCTCCTGCCCCTCACCACCTCTTCACCCCTCTTCCTCCTACCTCCTCTTCCTCCTTCCCCTCACCTCCCCCTCTCCTCCTCCTCCTCCCACCTTCCTTCCCTCTTCCCTCTCCCTCCTCCACCCTTCCTCTTCCTCCTCCTTCTCTTCTTCCTCCTTTCCCTCTCCCTCCTCTTCTTCCCCCTTCCCCTATCCCTCCTCCTTCCCCCCTTCCTCCTCCTCCTCCTTCCATTCCCCTGTTCCTGTCTCTCATTTCCATCGCAACAATTTACATAATGGTAAACAAGCCATTTTTGGCGCGTCCTCTGACCTCTCATTTCTTCTCATTTTTCTCTTTTTTTTCTATGCCATATCAACGAGTATTAATGACTTGACATCTTTTCCCGGTGCCTGTGGACTCTGTGACAAGGCGCGTTTGAACAGTACACGTGCTTGCCTTCGCTTTAACGAGTGTTGCATTTTTCTTTGTTGCAACATGGGCACATCACCTCAAGGTCGCGCAGAGCCTCCCATACTGAAACACGCACATACACACCTTCTTATGTACTGTAGAGGTACTCACTCGCGTACACACTCGCTCGCACGCACATATATACACATACGCACTTTCATACGCACACAAATATAAACCTTTGCAAACACACACAATGGTAAATATATAAAGAGTACAAACAGATGAAGGAATGGTCAAATAAAAATGAAATAAACCAAATACACTTACAAAGAAATAAATATAAACACGCACAGACAGACATACACAAAACACACACACACACACACACACACACACACACATACACCAAACACAAGACCCCAAAGCATGCAAACAGAGACACAAACACACGAAATCCGAATCCAGAAAAAAAACAAGAAAAAAGAGAAACAAAATGAAAAAAAAGAAAAAAAAAAAAAAAAAAAACTTACCGACATCTTTGACCTCCGCCTCACAGACCACCGCCCTCGCCTCGCTACAGCCGTCGGCGCTGAAGAAGAAGAAACCGCTGTCGTACTGGGAGCTCATCGTGGGCGCCAGCGGGTAGGACTTCTTCAGGATCACGCAGGAGGGAGAGGTGGGCGGGACGGGCGTGCGGGCTCGGGTTGTGGTGTTCCAGCCTGTTGAAGAAGGAGTGGGGGGAAGGGGAGGGTATGTGGGTGGGGGGAAATGGAGGGGGAAGGGGAGAGGGGTAGGGGTGGGGTGGAAGGGGTGTGATGGTGGGGTAGGGAGGGAGGAGGGATGAAGGAAGGGGGAGGGGGAGAGTTAGTGGAGGGGTTGAGGTGGGGTGAAGGAAGGGGGAGGGGGGAGAGTTAGTGGAGCCGGTGTGGTGGATGGGAGGGAGGAGGAGTGAAGGAAGGGGGAGTGGATGAGAGTTAGTGTAAGGGTTGAGGGTGGGTAAGAGGAGGAAGGAGGGGTGGGGAGAGAGGAGAGAGGGTAAAAGGCAGTTGGGTGGGGGTAGGGGTGGGGAGGGTTGAGAGGAATGGGTTGGAGGAGGGGGATGAGATGGGTTGAGGAAAAGGGGATTAGCATATAGAATGTGTACGTCTATTATGTAGCTCACCTTGCCAAAATATAATACAAAAATGGATAAAGATCAAGATGAAATATAATTAAACGATACACACGACGAACGATAAAAACAAACTTAAACAAATAAAAAAAACACGTAAATTCAAGCTCAAAAACATAGCCTACACATAACAAACAAAACACAAACATCGCACAAACACCCAAAAAATCACCCCCCCCCTCCCCACCCAAAACCAACGCCCGCACACCCACCAGGCCACCAACGGGCGTACTTGAGGCTCCCCAGCGTCGTCTCCCACACCCACGTCTTGAGGCCGCCCACGCTCACGTCACCAGCGTCGGTGTAGAACTCGACGTGGTCTCCGGATCGGGAGAGGAGCTCGGACACGTAGTTGTGTTCGTCCTGTGGCGGAGATGGGAGAGCTTTAGGAGTGATTTTAGATTTAGGGGGACCTTTAGGTAATCCTAAAGGTGTAAACCAGATCGGGTAAGCTAGTTACTTCATCAGCTTTAGGAAAAATTAATTAGACTTTCGGGATTTAGGTAGTCGGTAGGAAAAATTTTCCAGATCGGTCGACACGTAGTTGAGATGGGAGACCTTTAGGTGGGTTTAAAAGTGATTTTAGGTGGTTTCGGGTTGATTTAGGGACACGTGGTCTTTAGGTAGTCCTAAAGGGGTGTAAAATTTTCCAGATCGGGTAAGGAGTTCGGACACGTAGCTGTATTCGTCCTGCGTCGGGGATCCAATCTAATTAGGAGAATTACACAGGATTAAGGTGGTTCTAAGGTTGTTTAAGGTGGTTTAAGGGTTGTATAAGGAATAGGTGGTCTTTAGCTGACTTCAGGCGGTCTTAAATGGTGTAAAACGCGCCTTTTTCTCCAGATCGGAGTGCTGCCTGTGGTAGAGATGGGAGATACTTAGGTGGGCTTAAGGTGATTTAAGGTCGTTTTAGGTGGTTTTAGGTTGATTAAAGAAGGATAGTTTTTTAAAAGATGATTTTAGGTAGTCTTAAGGAGCACGAACACGTAGCTCTGTTCATCCTGTGGCAGAGATTCTTAGGTGACTGTAGGTTATTTATGGGAAAGCAAGGTGAATTTAAGCTGAATTAAGGGGACAGGTGGTTCTTAGGTGATGTTAGGTAGTTAGGTGGTTTCAGGTGTTCGTGGGCGGTCTTAGGGTTGTTTAAGGTTGTCATAAGGTAGTTTTAGGTGGTCTGGTGGCATAGAACTTCGGGACAGGAGCTCGGACATGTAGCTGCGGTGGCGAAGGGATACTTCTTGGGTAGCCTTGAGAGGACTTAAATAACGAATAGTGAGGCTGTAAGAATCTCTCGCGACACACTAGTTTACTGCGTAGGGTGAGTAATAAAGGCTAACCTATCTATTGGGTGAGCAAGCCAGTCCAAGTCATTGCCGATCACAAGTCCAGGTAAATACAAGGTCTATATAAATACTTGTATAAATACTATGTAAGTACTTATTTAGACCTTGGGTAAATGAAGGTGTGCGTCAGGAAGGGCATCCAGTCATAAAAAAAAACTGTCAGAACCAGTTTACATAGCGATCCCTTAAATGACTGGGACAAAGCTACTGCAAAAGATTAGTAATAATGATTTAGCCTTAAACGTATTTTAGTGTGGTGAAAGTGTGATGACCTCATTTAATGATACGGTTTTATAAGTGATGTGATGACAGTGTTGCTGTCCTTATATAAGTTGGTGTTTTATAGGTGATTATGTGATGACAGTTTCCAAATTCACGTGATGAGGAATATCTACTCTTTAATAACTTCAAATTCTAGTGTGATGATGTGATGATCTCTATGACTGAGTCTCTCTGTCAGTCAATTATAATAACTCTAAATAACAGATGATAATTATAATAAAAAATGATTATAATAATGAATAACTATAATAGATAATTATAATAATTTCAATCATCTGCCAAATTCTGATACAAACATACTCTAAAAGTACATAAATTGAAGATGAAAATACATTTCCTCTTCTTCTTCTACTTCATCTTTTATCTATTTTCTATTATTTTTATATTTTTTTTCTTTTTTTCCCTACCTGGAGACCGACATTATGATCTGTAACCTTGAGCTGAACTTGTTCTTAAGAGACATAAAAAGAAAAATATATTAGTCTATCCTGAGACATAACTGTCAGCCCTGATCTTGACAGTGAACCAATTCTCAAACACAAAGCGAACGGATGACTCTGAACAAAAACGAAACAAAAACAAAACTCGTTTCGCACTCAAACAAATATAAACAGAGACAGAGGGAGAGGGAGAAAGAGGGATGGAGGGAGGGAGGAGAGAGAGGGGGAGAGGGAGGAGAGAGTGAGAGTGAGAGGGGAGGGAGGGAGGGAGGAGAGAGCAGAGAGGCAGAGAGCAGAGAGAGAGGCAGAGAGCAGAGAGAGAGAGAGAGAGAGAGAGAGAGAGAGAGAGAGAGAGAGAGAGAGAGAGAGAGAGAGAGAGATATGTTTACATAAACAAAGCATGTGCTGATGCTGTCACAATGGAATGTTATCGATTTTTAACGTTCGTGTTTAGTCTTTGAACATAATAAAAAGAATCATATACTTACATGAATATCAAGAAGGAAAAAAATCAGTCTCTAGGAAAATAAAAAGCGAATAACGATAGAATACCAAAATCTTTCAAAATAGAAATAAAAGGAAAAGAAGAGAAGACGAAGAAAAAAAAGAAAAAAGATTCAAAAAGGTAAAAAAAATAATAAAAAATAAAAAAAAGAAAAGAAAATCCTTCAGTATTTCTTGTAGATAAAGGTATTACTTCGGGCGCCTCACATGTCCCGAGACACGAAGATTCACCAGGATACGAATGCAGTCGAGGCGAGTTGGCAGCGTATGCAAATCGTTTGAGGATTTAGTATGTGAAAAAAAAAAATAGTTTGACTTGGTAAGACAACTGTTTTTCTTGTTGAATGAGATGTCTCTTGCCTTTGCAATTTCGTCTTTTGTATTTATTCATTGCTATTATTGCTGTTGTTTTGTTATCATTAGGTTATGATAATGATAATGAGGATAATAATAATAATGATGAGATATCATTATTACTATAACTATTATCATTATTACTATTTTTATCATGATCACCAATTTAAAAAATCTATCATTTTTATCATTATCATTACCATCATCATCATCATCAGCACCATCATCATCATAAAAGTAATCCTTATTATCAATATTCATAATATGATATCAATTATCATAATTTTCATTATCAATATCATTTTCATTGTCATTGTTATTATCATCATCCCAATCATCATTATCATCATCCATCTCGAAACTGCTCAAAGCCCTTCAGATCAGGAGAACTTAAAATCAACTCAAGGTCAATTCCAGGTCAAGTTCAACTTGATGTCAACTCAAAGTCAACTCCAGGTCAAAGCCAACTCGAGGCCACCCACCTGCGACTCCACGCTGACCAGCTCTCCTCCTCGATCCCGGCAGAGCGTCCTTCCGGCATCTCTCGGCGCCCTGTAGTTGTCGAGGACGAGGTAACACGACTCCTTCCACCGCTGCCACACTCGCCCTTGGTCTGAAGGAGGACATCTCGAGGAGGACGCCTCCTTGCACCTGCGGAAGGAGGAGGAAGAGGAGGAGGTGAGAGTGGGAAGATGAGAGGGTGGGAGGATGGATGGGAGGAGCAAGAGGGAGTGAGATTGAGAGAGAGTGAAGAAGGAAGAGATGTTGAGGGAGGGAGGGAAAGAGGTAGGTAGGTAGGAATGTAGGCAGGCAGGCAGGCAGGAGGGAGGGAGGGAGGGAAGGGAGGTAGACAGGCAAAAGCCGACCAGTCTCCCCTTGTATACCCTAGCCAAGGTACATATAACCAAGTAGCTCCACTTCCGTATAGGCAATTGAACTAAAAAAATGAAATTGACTTCTTAAGAGTATTCTGGAGGCTTTTAATGGTAATTAACTCTTAGTTACAAACAAAAGAGTGAATTATACAAATAATTATGTATCTAGCTGTATTTGATATCTCACGGCACACTCTCATTGGCTAATTGTGGTGACCCCAACAATCTGTGTGATATTCTATGTTACGGCTATTTAAGTGCTATTTTAGTACATTTTCCTTTTAGGTGGTTCAGTAATAACAATGTTAAAAAATTCTAGAAAACGATATTGAATATTCACAATGAGTAAAGGTTGATGAGGCGGGGTTTAGCTCGCAAGTTGCCAACTAGGATTTTCATCAAGATGGAGTGGTTATAACTGGGTAAACATACCTTGCTAGAGAGAGAGTTCCCCCAAAAAAAAAAAAAAAAAACGCAGAACCAACCTACCTGATAGAGACAACCTTTGTATCGTCAGGACAGGAGCTGCAGGGCGTGAGGTTACACTGCCTGATGGAGGAGGCTCCCGAAGGACACCCCAGCTGCAGGAGCTCGGAGCTTCCTCGGGTAACGGGCACTATGCCTTGGCCGCCCTCGTACCTGGGGGAGGGGGGGGGGAGGGAGAGATTGTTTTTGCTATTGTTTTTACAAGGCTACTAATACAACTACAGTTATTATCATTATCACTCATATTTTTTATTATATTATCATTATCGCTATTATTGTTAGCGCTATCATATTCATTAAACATGACTATTATGATTGTTTTTATTGCCACTGTTATCATCATCTTTTACCGTTATCATCACTTTCACCATCATCATTATCTTATTTCATTTTGTCCATGTACTCATTTATTACAGTTTTACTTCGGTGCATTTAGGATAATATGGTATTCAGTGGTTAATGCTGTATCTGGCAAGGCGCAGTGAATGATGATGATAGAAGAAGATAGATAGAGATAGATAGATAGATAGATAGAGAGAGAGAGAGAGAGAGAGAGAGAGAGAGAGAAGTAGTGAGGAGTGAGAGAAGGTACTGAGAAAAGTAATGTGTGTGTGTGTGTGTGTGTGTGTGTGTGTGTGTGTGTGTGTGTGTGTGTGTGTGTGTGTGTGTGTGTGTGTGTGAGTAGAGAGAGAGAGAAGAGAGAGAGAGAGAGAGAGAGAGAGAGAGAGAGGAGAGAGAGAGAGAGAGAGAGAGAGAGAGAGAGAGAGAGAGAGAGAGAGAGAGAGAGAGAGAGAGAGAGAGAGAGAGAGAGAGAGAGCGAGAGAGAGAGAGAGAGAGAAAGAATGGGAAAGAAATATATACTGACCCCACAGTTCTTATAGATTCAGTATGCATCGTGCTCAACTACTTCACCCCAAAAATAACGGTCTTGTTTTATCATTCACAGTCAAATAAATTAACTAAAAGAACCAGTCAGTACAAAGGAGTTGATATTCAGAGACGCTCGCCATAAATCGATAACCGAAAACAAAAGACAATTAGTGCTATAATCAAAGTCACAAGCAGTATCAATATAATTGGTTGTTACTTTATCTTTGTATTATGAAAGTTCACTGAATTGATTAAAATGAGCTTGCAACATTGCTACATATTGATAAGGAAAATAAAGGTAAGACAAGAACAGGGAAAGAAACAGTTATGTATTATGAACATCGGCTACAACGATGATGATGGTGATGATGATGACAGTGATGATGGTGAGGGTGAATGTGATGATGATGGTGGTGAGGGTGATGCTGATGATAGTAATGGTCTTGACAATGGAGATAATATTAACATCGATAATTAATAACAATGACAATAATAAGTAATTCAAACAATAACAATGTAAACAATAAAAGTAGTAACAACAATAATAAAAAGAACAACAATAAGATACTTGTTACAGCAAAAGACAACATTGATAATAGATTTATATCAATGAACTGTAAAACCAAGAAAATATTAATAACCGCATGGATAACAACAAAATCACTAATATAGATGAAAAACAAAGACATAAAACAACAAACAAATAAACTTCAACAAATAAACTGACAAGCATGAAAGAATTGACATAAAAAAATGCTATACCTACCTAACTCGCAAATAAACTTTAGAAAATGATTTAGTAAGCATCCCAACAAACAATGAAATATACATTATCGAAAAAATAGAATAAATATAATAAAAAATCATAATCGTTTAATTATTACTCTCGTTTATCGGTATTCTTCCATAAGGGTCTTCTTAACATCTCTTCTCACTCTCTGCCATTACCATACATCATTTTCATTCTATCCTCTCAAAAATAATGCCATGCACCATCCTCACTTTTTTATATTTACTCTGTCAATGTATTAATCTTTCTATCTCTTTTTTCTCGTAGGTTTACATCATCTCTTTCTCACTCTTATGCACGATTTTACTATATGCTTAAACTTGATATGATATAATTTTCTCACTCATATATCTCTTCAGTATCTTCTTTTTTCCCCAGGTATATTATATGACGTCAAACTCACTCTCATGAAGTCACACTCACTCATGAAATTACACTCACTCTTATGAAGTCACACTCACTCGTGTAGTTACAATCACTTTCATGAAGTCACAATCACACTCATGAGATCTCATTCTCTTGAAGCCGCATTCGCTCTCGCGTAGTCACACTCCCTCTCATGAAGTCACACTCGCTCGTGTAGTCACATTCACACTCATAAATCACACTCGCTCGTATAATCACACACACTCATGAGGTCTCATTCTTATGAAGCTGCACTCACTCTCATGAAATCACTCTCTCGAAGTCACAGTCATATTCACTCATAAAGTCACACTCACCATTATGAAGTCACACTCATAAAGTCACTCACTCATGAAGTCACACTCCCTAGAAATCACACTCTTAATCACTCACTCCCCCCCCCCCCCTCAAACAGCCCAATGAGCAACTCCACAATTACCAGCAAACCGCCAGTTACCCCCAACGATCACTGGGAAACCAACCGTCATTTTTTTCACCTCAATTGACTTCTTTGGTTAATTAGATCAGCCAAGACTTCTATAAACGGAAAACGGGCGTAGTTGACGTATTCCTGACTTTAATTGAACACTTATGTAGGCTACTGATGCACATAGGAAGGTGTGGGAGGAGGAGGTGGAGGAGGATGGAGGAGGAGGAGGAGAATGGATGGAGGAGGGGGGGGAGAGGATGGAGGAGGGGGGAGGATGGTGGGGGAGGGGGTAGGAGGAGGGAGAGGATGGAGGTGGAGGAGGGGAGGAGAGGGGAAGGGGGGGGGATGGAGGAGGGGGGAAAGGGGAGGAAGAGAATAGGGGAAGACGAGGAAGAGGAAGAATTTCGGTGACAGCTAGTGACGTGTGTGAAAAAGCATGTTATAAAGAAATTGTGTTATTTCTTGGAAATGTTTGTTTTACTTTTTTCGTTTTATTTTATCTGGTTCTTTCTTGCTTTGGTGTTTTTCTGTCTTTTTTCATTCTCGTTCACTCTTTCTTCCTTTTTTTCTCTCTTTCAGTCACTCTCTCTCTCTTTGTCTGTCTCTTCCTCCCTCCTCTCTCCCTCCTTTCCTCCATCCGTCCCCTCTCCCACCCCCTTCCCTCTCCTTCCCCATTCCTTCCCTCCCTTCCTCCTCCCCTTCCCCTTCCCTCTCCTTCCCTCTCATTCTCCTTCCCCTCTCCCTATCCCTCCCCCTTCCCTCTCCCTCTCCCTCCCCCCTCTCTCCCCCCTTCCCTCTCCTCTACCTCCCCTTCCCTCTTCCTCTCCCTTCCCCTTCCCTCTCCCTCCCCCTCTTTTAAATCTAAATCTACCTCCCCTCCCCCCTTCCTCTCCCTTCCCTTACTGGGCATCCGTCGTCATGCCCGAAATCCAAATCGAAGGTCAGTCATACCCCTTATCTACCTGGGATGATTTGAGGTTTTGATTTGATGAACCTTACGAGGCTAAAAGAGAGAGACAGGGATTCTCTCCTCTTCAATATCATAAGCTCTTGACCTTCAGTTTGGGCTTCGGGCATGGCGGAGAATGCCCAGGCGGTTTTCAAGGTTGCAGGTCGCAGGAAGGGAGGAGGAGGAGGAGGAGGAGGAGAGGAGGAGGAGGAGAAGGAGGAGGAGGAGGAAAGGAGGAGGAGGAGAGGAGGAGAAAAGGGGAGGAGGAGGAGGAGGAGGGGAAAGGAGGGAGGAGGAGGAGAAGGAGGAGGAGGGAGGGGGGAGGGTCGGGGAGAGGGAGGAAAGGAGAGAAGTAGAAGGAGGAAGGGGGGAGGAGGAGATGCAAATGGAGAAGGAGAGAAGCAGAAAAAACGTAGAATGAAACAAAAAGATGAAGACAATACGAAAGATAATAAGAAAAGAATATGTGAAAAGGAGGATTTAATAAAAATAAATAGGTTGATGTATGGGTGATATCGAATATGCAATTAATCGAAATATTGCTTAAAGACAATGAATCAAAAATATTCCTACTTAAAAAAAAAAAAAATAACATAAGCATTCCTGCATAAAAATCAGTCTAACAATATAATGATAAATAGATACATAAACTATCAAATACAGTAACCAAAAATAAATAGAAATAAATAAACTATAAAAAAAACTTTAGTTCAGTAACCCCACGATCCAATACAGTAGAACAGGAAATAAGATAATATGCGTAATTTCACACAACATAAATAATTCAAAACTTCTTTGCACTTCCGGTTATGGGAGGAGACAACGAAGAGAATACGAATTTCTTTTTCTATCACTACTATTTCCTTTATTGTGTCTTTTTATTGATGTTTTCGTTAGTAGTACTGTCATCGTGTTTTGTTGATATTTTTTCATTGTCTTCATTTTATATTATTTTCGATATTTTCATGAGAATTGTTATTACTGTTTTTTTTTTTTTTTAATTTATATTGTTAGTATTGTAGCTATCATTATTATCACTACCATTATTGCTGTTGTCTTTGTTTTTGTTGTTCATCACATTGTCCTTGTTTTATTGATTAAAAAAAGAAGAAAAAAAGAAAGAAAGAAAAGTAAAGAAAATAATATAAAGACAAAAAGAACAAAAATAAATATCAATAAATATCATTACTCTCTACTTTAGTAATAATCAAAGGCTAGTAGTATACACAAGAATTAATAAGATATATGAAATTAATTGTAGTAAAAAAAAGAGAGAGAATGAATGAAAGGTGGAAACCGCAAATAAACAGATTTTCAAAGACGCACAAAATAACTTTAGTACAATCGTACAAAACCACTTCCTGATAATGATTAAGATGGCAACCCGCTGTTTAACCACAGAATGCAGTGACTGGCAGTTATAGTCACGTTGATCAATTACTGTCATTTATATTTTCATTACCATTAACTTTTACTAAAAAAAATACAGATATAATTGACAGACTTGTAAAACATGAAGATATTGAAGGTATAAACATAAATTCCTAAGGAGTTTTACGAAGATTATAAGTTATGAGGATTTGAAAAGATTTGATAAATGCGAAACCTTTTTTCAGAACTCCACACAATTAAGAAATGTAAAAGCCTCAAAAAAGGAAAGAACAAAACTACACAAAATATAAGATAGAATTTTAAAGAGAAACACCATA